AGACGACAATCATCAATCGGCATGGCTTCATTTCACAACCTTTTCTCCGAACCACGTTAGCAATTTTTTTTTTTGGAAAATCTGAAGACAGTGCAAGTAGCTAAACTCTCTGTATTCGGCACAACACGGCGTACTCATTAGTAAATTAATGTTGATTTTACGTTTCTATTTCTATTTTTGCTATATTTGTTGTCTAGTAAAGTCAAAATATCATTTTCATCAACATTTACAAAATGTCCGTCTTCCATGTTTTTTGTGACACCATGAAACTTTTTTTTTCAAAAGTAGAGGTCAACAGTACATATTGTTGAGGTCAACAGTACATATTGTTGATGGCTAATCAACCAATCAGAATCGAGTATTTCAGTTGAGGTACTAACAATACCAATTGACTCCTAGATTTGAGTGAACAAGTACCTCGTATTTTTCATTTTTCGATATTTTGAGATTTGTTGGCTGATGAGTAACTTGATATTTTATGTCTAAATATATTAAAGTGGTTAATAGTAATAGTTTTATTGTACACCGTAAACTGTTAACGTTTTAGAATTGGGACACAATATATGATTTGATAATAGAACAATACATGTATATGTCTAAACTCGGTGGTTTGTTTGTTAGTTTGTTTTCTTAAGAGCTCAATAACTGTTTTATGAATAAGGCGTTATATTATGAAAAAAAGATTGAACGATGTAGGCATAGGCAGAGGGAGTATCACACTACCCTACCACGTGAACACATTTAAAAAGAATACAGGGTACAGTTAAGTTGCAAATAGAGCGGGTATTCTCTTTCCTTTTCCATTGGACTTTCTGGTGATAATACGTTGCAAACTGCTCGATGAATCTATACAATGTAAAATCTAGTATTCCTTCAGAACTATGGAAATAAACAAAGGTCCTCCATTTGCAACTTCACTGTAGCCTGTATTCCTTTTAAAGAAATACGGGCTACAGTATTGGGGTATAGTAGTTTGATTTTTCAATATATCACTAATCTAGCTTCTTTCCTTGAAAAAACATGAGTTTTGATGTACGTATATCAAACATGGGCCACTGCACTATAACTTGAACCAGGGTGCCGGTGTTACATAATGTGATTTTAAGGGCCATCATACAACCACCTCTTGCCCACTTTATTCATGTTTTGGATAACAGTTTATACACAATGCATAAACAGCATGAAACAATCATTTCTACTTGTGGATTAGATTTGTATACATCTCTTTGTGAACTGAGTGTTATGTTCAATATGTGAAAATATAATGGACTTAAATTGTACTTATATTTATAACCTGACCACATTTGCATATGTTCAACAACAGACTGAGTGATCGAGTAAATCAAACAATGTTCGTAATAGAGGTCATGAACTTTGCTTTATTCATAATCCTATTTCTGCAACTGACTCATATTATGCATCTTATTAATATTATATGATTTTTTTGATTAGCAGTGTCTCATAAGCCATTGGTGGCTCGAGGCTTTTTGGATGATTGTATAGATGTATACGTATGAAATTAAGCCTGCGACACTTAAAACAATACAATAAACTTGCTGATCATATGATTTTAATATTTTAATACTACATGATACTCATATCAAAATACCAATGTATTTGTGAACAACTCTTAAGTTTGATATTGTACGAATTTTCTGATTTGCTGTAGTAGTTGTAAATGCAACATATATTAACAATGTTATGTTACTTTGTGTCATATGAAAAATAAATTCGTACAAAAGTGAGTTTTATTTCGTTTGTTATTCAATGTAGAATACACGTTGTACATTATTTCATGTAGGATATTGACAATAATCAGACTATCGTATTACAATACAGAAGAATAAAAAGAGATAATGATATATGCATTCTATTTTGAGATTGACATGCGTAAAGGTATCAATATTTTATCTAGTATTTCATTTTATCCCTCCCGTCCCATCCCACCCGCTCATCAGCAATCCCCAGGAAATTCGTTCGGTGCTATTAAATGTTAATAGTTCGGTTGAATTTTAAAAATAAATCTTAAGCACTTTAAATCTAGATAAAATATTCATGATTTGATTGTGATTATCATTTGTAATTATTACATGACGGTTCCGTTACATTCAATGCGTATCTAATCCTCATAGTTTACTAATAAATCAGTTATTAAATACTCGATTTTCGACAGGTAAAGTTAATATATCAACCCTCGGTCCCTACTATTTCTCGTGTAGATATATTGCATAACTTTCCCAGATAAATCCTGTATGTTAAATACATTAAATAACATTATATATGTTAGTCTCAGCCTAGACAGTATATATATCAATTTTATTGGATGATGCCATGGGCTTTCCCACGATAATGCGTAAATTCGAATGAACTTGAAATGAAGTTCAACATCCAAAATGTGTTAATTTGATCATCCACCGTGTAACTAAAAGCATATGCATGGCCTATTTGCCTTAAATACGATTGTGATTATGATTTCTGTTTTCCATATGTAAAATCTAGAAACATAACAGAGTTAAGTTACACGAAATTCAGCTAACTTGAACATGAAGTCTTGTCAATTTACTTAATCGTTGATTGATTTCTAGGTTTATTAGAATTAAAACAACGATCGTTTCATCAAACGAGTCCTATATTCAATATCTATTAGTTGGGCCTATTCTTTAAATGTAACTATATTCTTTTAACTTTAAAAGTATCTGTTTTGTGCTACGTTAACATATATTCATTATTTTTTATCCACACAACAGTATCAAACGTTAATGCATAACTAGCCATGCCAAGACATGGCCACTACCCTCGTCCAGAGTAAAATACACAAGGTCATCATTCTTTAATGATTATCTTTAATTTAGTTTAAAGTGCTTTAAATGTAGGAAAATGAGTCGCTGTGATGTCATATCTGGCGCAGCAATTTCAGAGTCACTGCAATAAATTGAAACATCACTCGGATCAAAAGACTAAATAAACAAGCTATTTAGGGATGAATAACATTCGGTGAAATCCGTGATATCGTTATATCATTCGTTAATTGTCAAAGCTGCGCCCATTCGCTACCCTCATACTGTGAAACTATCGATATTGAGTTGAGTCTCTATTTTCTATTTTAAAACATTGGGATTTACGCGCACAAGAGATGCTATGTAGTTAGGCTATTACAAAAATCACAAAATCACCACCAACATTTCTCGGTGCAGGCAGATATAAGGCCCGACTGGGCATACACAAAATGTATTGTATGTGCTCCTTAGGTTGCACTCGGGTGCTATCAACATCAAACACACACACGTTTAAGATACACAGAGATAATTAAGGGATGAGTGACAAAGGGATGTTAAAAACAGGTGGCTATTGCAATTGATATTTTAATGTAACTTTAGTATGTAAGAATCTTTTCATCAATGAAAATAACATCTTAGATATTACAGCTACATGTACAATGTGAGTGTATTTAAAAATGTAGTACATAGCTAGTTCCATCTATAAAGATGTCTGATGACAAAAAGCTCAATTTTCCTTGATGTCATGGTCAATGGGACTTTAACACGTGAACTAATGTTTTTTATTTTTTTGTTTTAAAGTCACTTATAGCAAACCTAATCTAACAATTATCTCACTATATGCTTATGACATATTCATGTATACATTTTTTGTCTTTTTTTCAAATCAACCCACGGAAATATCCAATACATCAAGTTAAAAAAGTGGTACGAATCATAAAAGCGACGTTGGGTGGTTTACTAGTAATTTTTTTATGAAAAATCTAGAAATATTACCCAAATTAAACTATGACTATTCAAAAGAAGACATTCAAATCTATATTATGTAAAAAAAATCAAATTTGTCCGAAGCAGGGATAACGCTCAATTAGAGTGACGAACTTCGTTCTCCAAATCGAGAATGGTCTTTTTTCATCCTGAATGCCTAACACTTATCAGTTTAAAAGTCAAGATTTTAAGAGAAAAATCAAATGTCATACAAAGAATAAGACAAGATTTTAGGACAGAAAATTCAAAATGGCTGCCTTGACATTTACCCAGAATGCCAAAAACCTATTCAGATCTAGATTTTCATACTAAGAATCATCCCTGAAAATTTGAATTTGATCTACCAAACGGTTCACCTGAATACGTGCGGACAAGACTTTACAGACAAGATTTTAGGATGAAAAATCCAAAATGGCTGCCTTAACATTTACCCAGAATACTGAAAAACTAATCAGATCTAGATTTTCATACTAAGAAACATCCATGAAAATTTGAAATTAATCCGTCAAATGGTTATCCTGAAGATGAGTAGACAAGACTTTACCGACACAATTTTAGGACAGAAAATCCAAAATGGCCACCTTTAAATTTACCCAGAATGCCAGGTACAATATTAAAAATCTAGGTACAATATGTAAAACTGTAATACTACGTTTTAAATGTAAAAAACTATATAGGACATTAATAAAGCTAGAAATGTAGATATTAAAGAAGCACATGGCAGCCATCTTGAAAAATGGCGGCCTTTACTCACGATTTTATGATTTTTGCTGTAACTCGAAAAGTAGTGGAGCGATTTTGTTCATATTTGGTATGTGAATACTATAAGCATGGCACACTGTCTAATGACACTTTTGGTAGAAGGCGGCCATTTTGAAAATTGGCCGCCATTTTAACGTGTTTTACTATAACTTGAAAAGTAGTGGAGTGATTATGTTCATATTTGGTATGTGAATGCATGGCACACTGTCTAATGACACTTTTGGTAGAAGGTGGCCATTTTAAAAAATGGCCGCCATTTTTGTTATATACTTTGTTTGTAAAATGCCAGCCATGGCTGTTTGATGGGATTTGCTACGCTTTGACACTTCATTCAGCAGTATTATGAAGCACAAAGAGTAACGTTTCCTTGGACTCTGAACCTAATGATCCTAAAGTATATAAAGTATAAAGCAAGTCAATTAGGCAGTCTGTATAAATGATTATCATGATGAATGCAAGGTTTATACTGCTGGTGGTAGTATTGTGTATCTGCCACGCAGGAAGAGTGAGAGCATCATGTGATTGCAAGCTAAGTGCAACTATAACACCAATAAAGCCAGAGATCATCAACTCAAGACTGGATGCGCAAGATGCCATAATTGACAGGTACAAAATTTCTTAATATCAATTTCTTAATATCAATTTTCATTCTACATGCGCTGTACTATTGGTAATTTTCACATATGCTACTATATTTTGTGCTTTTCCCAAGTTTTCGAAAATTTGCGAAATATAATCGGCATAATTAAAGTTATAATTCACGAAATTCCAAGGAATTTATATCAGTCAAAATTTACAGTATTTTTGTCAAATGCTGCGATAAAAAGTAAGAAGCTACTGTTTCCTTTAATTTCAGATTCTTAAACATTTTAATCTAATAAATTAAAATTGAAAATTAGCAAAAGATTAATTCTTTCTTTGTCATAACAGTCTGACAGACTACCAAAATAACTCAGTTGTTAGATTTACACTAGAGCCCTAAGACGTCTTGAGTAAAACGTTTTAGCGTTAAACGTTTTACAAATGTAATGTAAATCAAGATTTTCTCAAGGGCTCTCGGCTAAGAGCGCTTAGCTAAAACGTTTTAGGACCCTAGTCATAGCCAAGATGTCGTAGCGTTAAAACGTTTTACAAGCGAGTGTAAATCCATCGGTTTTAGCTAAGAGCTCTTAGCCCTGTTTTTGCATTGCGCTGAACAAAAAATTTGAAACTCTCTGTTTACATGTGTCACATGGTCCTTTCTTTTCTCTTATCCCTTGTTCCCAATATCATCCCAAAAATATCGAGAAGAACTAATTTGCCTGGCGATCTATCATAACCCAAATATAAATCTTCCTGCTCTCTTTCATACTTTTAACAATGCTGTCTTTAGGACATATTTTTGTGAAACCGATGCATTCTTTAGCACAAAGTATAGAAGCGGGAAAGGAATAGCTATATTGACTGAACCGTCCTTCAACCAGTACTGAACTGCTTTTTTCATTTTACATTGTATACCTTAACATATCTCTAAGACATTTTAGAAAAACAGGTGTAAACTCAATCATATTTCGTACTAAGACGTCTTGAAAATGGTGGTGTAAACTCAACATACTTTTTCTAAAACGTTTTAGCCAAGACATCTTAGAATGTCACGTGTAGTGTAAATACTAAATAGGGCTGGTATGAAATTGGTTTTAACTTTTCCAAAGGTCTCGAAAAATACTTTAACCCTAATGAATTTTAAAATTATTGCCACATATAGTAATTCAGTTTCTTTGAGATAAAACAGCATAAAACTTTTCAGTGTTGCAGACAAGTACCAAACATTACTCCAGGACAATCAGCTAAAACTTGAGCGATTGAAGAATGCCAAAAAAGATGCAGAGCTTGGGACAGATATTGTGTATAATTTAGGTAGAATATACATGTATTTCAGTGGAAATTTTAATAAATCATTTGATACACTATATATTTTGCAACGTATGCCTCAAAGATTTAAAAATATGAGGGTCGTATGAAAAGTTTTGAGCCTAACCATGAAGTTCATGCAAGTGGTGCTGCAGTGTTTGGAGCTCAGTTTTGTAGAAGGTTTTGTCTTGGTAGTCGAATCAGTCAGTTACAGTAGATATGACGTCATTGTGACTGTCAAAATGCTTCCCAACTAAATGCTGATGATGGAAGAATGGCGGAGCTATATCAGGATAGTACGATGGGTTGGGAATGAGTTTAAAGCCAGTCAAGACCTGTTGCCATGGCAACCACCGACTTGTGGGTTGGAGCATTGTCTTAATGGAACAAGACACATTTTGTTATTTTTGCTGGATGTTTTTTTCTTGATAGCTTTCCGTAACTGCCTCAAAAGATTAGAATAACACTCTCCGTTGATGGTTTGCCCTTTTCTAAATAATCCACCAACACAGTACCATTTGCATCTCAGAAAACTGAGGCCATCACCTTCTCAGCAGAGGAAACCACCCAGGCATTTTAGGAGGTGGAGAGGAAGAGTGTTTCCATTGCATTGATTGTTTTTTGGATCAAATTGGTAGACCCAACATTCATCAATAGTCAGAAATCACTCCATGAAATCATCTGGCTCTGCTTCAAAAATCTCTAAATTCTCTTGACATGTCCAACAAAGTGTGTTTCTTATTAGGAGTCAAAAGGTGTGGAACCCACATGGCTGAAACCTTTGTCAATCCAAGTGCATTAGTCAGATTATGGTAGACTCTCTCCTGGGAGATGCCAACAGTCTCAGCTATGTAACAAACAGTCTATCATCTGCCATTCCATCACCATTTGGTGCAAATGATTAATGTTTCTGTGGCGGCAGCTGTTCATGGCTGTCCATGCCTCAGGTCATCTTCAATGCACTCTCTACCCCTTTTGAATTCAGCTGCCCACCATTTCACTGTGGCAAAAGATGGAGCATTATCACTTAATGTTCCAACCATATCAGTCTGAATCTGTGATGGAGTTAACAGTTTTCAAAATCAGATACTTGATTATGGCACGATATTCGACTTTGTCCATTTTCAGATATTTTCATAACTGTCAACTTTCAAAGTCCTGTCTCTGCAGTAAAACACACTGCAATGGAATATAAAATTAGTCATGAGTCATCAAAAGGACTGAAATAAATGTATGTCAAGTTTCACTGATCTTGCATTATTGCTTCATACTTAGGCTCATAACTTTTCATACGACCCTCGTATCTCCTTCAGAATTTTAAAATAATCAATATTTGCTATAAAATGTATGACCCCTTTAAGACCCTTATGTATTGAAAACAGGACATCAAGTTAACCAATTGTTTCTATTTCCAGCAAATGATTGTGCCAAGAATGGCAAGTTACGCTGCATTGAATCTGGAGAGTGCATTCATTTACTCCAGGTATTTCATCGGACAATAATGTCATCAAATTTAAACATATATCTTTACATTTCTTACCAGCTGGGTTTATTAAAGTGTATAGATCAGAATAATGTTTGTATTTCCTGACAATAGATTTATTTTGAATATCTCTGTTCATTGTACTTCAGGGCTGTGATGGGGTGGTTGACTGTTTAGATGGCTCGGATGAAGAAAATACAACATGTGGTGAGTACATATCAATTTGGGCTGTTATGATTTCAAAACAAGAGTGGAGTTATCAAGATTAGGTCACATTGGGAACTCAAGGTCATGCAGTTTAGTTTATTTATCTACTTATCATTGTAAATTCACAAGTCAGAAATATAACGAAGATAGCAGTTTTACAAAGTCAATTCAATGACAGGCATCACACTTAAAGGGACAAAGTGCGTAAATGAAGTCTGACTTTTGATCTTCATAGTATTTCCAATGGATTAATAAGTACCCGATCTTTCATTTGACACCAAAAACAGCTCAAACAGACCACATCAGAGTTGACACTAAATCAAGAAAAAATATTTTTGATCTATCAATTTATATATGTCAAGTTTTTAGCAATGCCATAGAAAGATAGCATTGTTGTTAGCATTAATTATCAATTCATTTTTGATAGGATTTTCAACCATGCGCCATATTTTACTCCAGAGTTAATTAAAAGCATACACTTTGTGAAAAGTGCTAATTTACTTCTTTTGATCTCTGAACTTCAAATGCTGTTTTCTATGCGAGTAATTTTTTTCACTTCAGTATTGACCCAAATGAAAGTTTTTATCATATTTGATTGACTGTGTGAGTGATATGTCTCAAATGATATTTTGTCCTTTTTCTTTCAAAACCAGAACAACGACACGCCAAAGCGTTTTATTAGACAATGTGCCATGCTTAAAGTATTCACATATCAAATATGAACAAAATCGCTCTACTACTTTTCGAGTTATAGTAAAATACGTTAAAATGGCGGCCATTTTTCAAAATTGTTTTCAAAATGGCCGCCTTCTACCAAAAGTGTCATAGGACAGTGTACCATGCTTATAGTATTCACATACCAAATATGAACAAAATCGCTCCACTACTTTTCAAGTTATAGTAAAATACGTTAAAACGGCGGCCATTTTTCAAAATGGCCGCCTTCTACCAAAAGTGTCTTTAGACAGTGTGCAATGCTTATAGTATTCACATACCAAATATGAACAAAAACGCTCCACTACTTTTTGAGTTACAGCAAAAATCGTAAAATGACGAGTAAAGGCCGCCATTTTTCAAGATGGCTGCCATGTGCTTCTTTAATATCTACATTTGTAGCATTATTAATGTCCTTTATAATTTTTTTACATTTAAAACATATTGCTATTACAGTTTTACATATTGCACCTAAATTACTGTAAAATCGTCACTAAAATGGCCGCCATTTTGAAAATCGGCTCTTGAGCAGAACTTCTACTGCCATAGGGTATATGTGTACAAAATATGAACAAAATCGGGCCAACGGTATTTGAGTTATTGCCCGGACGGACGGACAGACGGACGGACGGACGTACGTACGGACGGACGGACGTACGGACGGACGGACGGAGGCGTTCCCTATATCCCTCCGAACTTCGTTCGATGGGATAAATAGGCGCATTGCCAGTTTAACCAATATAATATTGTATATGGACACATCAGCACCATAGTCAAGCTGAAAAAAAAACTGAAAAAAGCTGAAAATCAAGAAATCAAAACCATTCAGTTTTTCGGTATTTATCTGATATTATACAAATAGTGACTGCCATTGAGGGCAATAGTGTAAATTATTTCCCCGAGGGAATATCCTCTACAATGTACTATTCCCGAAGCCGCAGGCTGAGGGAATAGTACATTGTAGAGGATATTCCCAAGGGGAAATCATTTACACTATTGCTCGAAATTAGGCAGTCATTATTTGTTTTATTATATACCCTATACTGACTCTTGTCCCGTTTCCTCTGCGAAGGCCAAAAAGGCTTAGAAAGCCCCCTCCCCGGGTCCATTGTTAGTATTATAAGCTGTGACGTCATCAGATGCTCAACAGAAATTTTTGCCTCTGAGACTCTCACTTGACAAATTCAATCGCGTTTAACACGCGGAATAGATTATCATAACACTTGAAATTACACAGACGTATTGAGCTTAGGGAACTTTATACACGTTGCTTATATTGTATCGTTCACGCACGTCTGTCATGGTGAACGGAGTTGATTTGTGTTTGTGCTCATCCTCCATTTTTCTGTTTTTCGTCTGCTCAGTGATGATGCGCAGACGTTTCCAAGGGTAATAGAAGTTGCAATCGTGACGTCAGCGGGCAATAGTTCAAATGTATATTCCCGCTGACGTCACATTTGAGGGAATATAACTTTCCGAGGGAAATAGTAAATCTATTTCGGAACACGTGACTAGGTATTGACCAATCAGGATTAGTGTTACATATTGGGTATATAATAAAAAATGTTAATTTATTTAACACTTATCATCCCATTCCCATCGTTAAATATTTAATTGTAACTGTGATGAGATGAGGACACATGCGAGAATAAAAAAGGAAAAGAAACCAGAAAATCCATACTCTCACGTCTTGACTGTCAGTCATTTTTATCTTCGCTTATATCAATATGTTAATATGTTAATATGGTCACAAGTGTCTTGGCGGAAAGCCTGAAAAATATGTACAAGTACACGTGGGGAAAGCTGACCCAGCTACATACAACCTAGCACCGAGAAAAATCCGCTAATACCATCTATCAACCAGGACCGTAGCCAGGGGGCATTCGCAGGGTTCCGACACTCGTGGTATAATCAGGTCTTTCATTTTCGACTTTCACGGGTGATTTCAATGATATGCAATGTATGACAGTAAAACAAATGTGATATATTTGTATCTTTAAATCTACTGGAGTAAAGACAGCTATGGTTCTTACTTAGTCTATTTAAGCTGTAAAGCATCATTCAAATATTTAGAAGTTGAATTTAGCGATTGGATAGTAAACATTGCATTAAGTACTCATTATTTTGCAAACATGAGTGCCTGGAACAATGACTATATCAGTTAGACACAATTCTTTTGTTTGTCTATTTCTCATATTGAGAAATTCAAGATATAAACAGGAGTCTATTAACTAACCCTTTACATTTTTAGACATCTTCAGGTCTTTGTTCGGCGCTAGGCTGTATGTAGCTGGGTCGGTATTCCCCGCGTGAAGTACTGTACTTATGAATGAAAATTTTGTCAACAAATTGTTATCACATTCACATCAACCAATAGAGACGCGTTCTTTTAAAATGACTAATTGCCTGATTATTTAAAAGCCAATGAGAGAATACCCCATTCTGATGATGTTTTCAACATGATGATTTCCTCATATTTAGAATAACAGAGATTCCCCGTGAAATCGCCAGATAAATGTTGTAATGTTGAAATGAGCATGGTCTTGATAGTTTTAAGGTATGGTGAGTGGTTAAAAAAAGTGAGTTCAAAAAACGATGCAATTATTTTTCTACATTCAAGTTGAATACCAGTACGCTTGTGTTGTATCGTGACCAATTGCTCAATCCCTCGAGCAATTTCGAGACCCATAAATTGTATAATTGAACATTTTGAAAGACTTGTTGACTAAACTAAATATTTTGTTTATTGTAATTTTTAGTGAATCCTTTGAAACCTGGTGGAAAGTATCAAGCTATACTTCCAAAAACTCAGACCTGTTTCCCAGATGCTGCATCTTTTGTTAGGATTATTGTAATCATCAACAGTATAGTGACCAGTGAACATCTTCCCCAGTATATTGTTGGCACTATCTCTGGGGATTATTCATTCACTGACAAAGAGGGGAGGTAACATAACTTTCTTTCTCTGACCCAAGTTAGCCACGAGGTGAAACTAGAAACAACCTACTGGCACCTATGTTATTGTATTCTAGGTTTATAAAATATGTTATAAATTGGTAACATTTATTGGTTTAATACCAGAGTAACATCTTCTTTGAAGTACTGTTTCACTGTTTTTCAGACAGATTACTGGTGCTGTACCAGCAACATATACCTACCACATAGCCTCAGGTGAAGCGAGGGTGAAATATATGAATGATCGCTATAAATTTACGGGGCATGCATTTTTGCCTTATTTCCTTGGTTCAACACCAATCAGCGGTGCCTATTACCATGGGCATGATTTAAAGGAGGTTTGCTCAGATGCAGTTTGGTACCGTGTTGCTTAATTCATCATAAGCCAATGCGGGATTAGTTAAATGCACATGTGGACAATGCATACTAATCTGAACCAAACCTTTAATTGACTTAAACACTGATTCAAGAAAAATAAAGTTATCCAGCCAGCACTCTTAAAATCAGATATTGTAATGATGGCAACAAAAAGCTTTACTTCAAATTATTTTGCAAACTATCAAATGTAAAATGTGAAACGAATTACTGCTGAATAAAACACAATTGATACCAGAACCACAACAAACTGAATACAAATATTTTATAAATATGCGTTCATGCAGTTAGTCTAGATCTCTGATCTATGAGGTTGTATAAAAATGCATCATTGACATCTTGTTCTAGTATAGCTCCCTTCCTCATAATGGAGTGTATTATTAGTATAGTATACATACAACTGTAATAAACTTGTACAAATATGTACAAATAAATGATTTGATGATAGATGGTTAAATGATTTAGAGATTCTTAGTATTACCATCATGTACCAATGAATAAACAGAGCCTATATATAGTGCCACCTATTGGCTAGATGTCATTCCTACATGAGCAGTTTCAGTGAAGTAATGTGAAATATTTAATGCTTATTTTCACAAACCAGGCAACAATTGTTTTAAATATGATAAAAATGAAACTCATAATAAAGAGCCAGCTTATGCTAACTAGTACACCAGAGAGTTGATTACTAGAGTGATACTAACTTGATAAAAGGCATGTGCTGGCTTGAACTGTCTGTGGTTCTAGCCAGGATAAAGATACCAGCTCCTGTCAGATTAATACGGGGAGCTGTTTCTACCTTAAGATATCAAGTTACATTATCCTACCACATGTATATGCCCTATGGTGTCTGTGTGAGATATGTAACTTAAATGAAAATGAAAAATAATTACCTTTAACTTGGCTACAGAACGGACTTGAATGGTTTGCATTAGCAGCTTCTCAATAGACAGTTGGTTACTCTGAAACAAGGACACAAGAATGGTTTCATAAATAGCTAGGCAGAAAAGTTTCCTTGCAAATAGACATTCTTTCAAAACTGTATAAAAACTTTTGCAAAGCGTGAAAGTAATTTAAGCACATGACTCAATGCATTGTGGATGTTTTAATGCACTCATGAGTTGTTTCCTAGACTTTCAATTCAAGCTGAGCACTCTACAAAGGGCTGGAAACAACACATTAGAGGGATTATATCATCCACAATATATTCCCTCCTGGGCTTAGATCATTTAACAAGCCATCATTAGAACTTAAAAATACATGTAATTCATCCTCATAGAGTACTATAAAAATCTCAGAATCTGAAAATGAGGACACAATCAACACAATATGAAGATCAAACTCTGGGAAAACATCAACCAATATGTAATCAAGGGAATCGTAAAAGTCAATTAAATAACACAGTCACTAATTTTGATCACTCACCATAATTGACTATTCACTAGTAATAAAATAAAAAATAAAATGCAATTCTACACATTAAAATCTTAGCTTGTATTTTCGAATGCAACTTTCAGATTCCTACTATTTTATGACCAACTCAAGTCAATCTGTATATTAAATGAGTAAACCATAGAATAATAAGTTAGTCTGGTAGCCAGCAGCCAGAACTTGCATTCAAGAATTCAAGTTTTGATACATGAACAAAATCTTTAAGTTATAAACTGAATTATACCTTAATTGCTCTTCCCACTTTGCTGGTATCCTCTTTGCTAAGTTCAGGGGTATGTGTCACTTGTAAAGGCTTGGCAGGATTCAGGTCATTAATATGTACAGATACTTTGTAATCTGAAATATATTTTCATTTAAGGTGTTTAAGTTCATGTCAATTCTTTTTCAAGTTTTTTGTTTTGTATCGCTTTTTTAAATGTAATAATTGATTTAATATTATATTACAGAACAGAAATGCACTTTTTCCAATATAGGTAATTGCCCACCATTTTGAGCAGCCATTTGTCCAAAATTATTCTATGAGAATAAAAACCCTCATAGTCCTCTCTTCAATTAAACAAGGCATCAACATGCAAAAGGCCACTACCTGCCATTTGTTACAGATGCTGGATGCCAAACACTGACCGCTAAGCACCAACTGCCGAACACATGCCACAAAAATGTTGAGACCATAACAATATGTCACCACTAAAAACAAATGAAAAGGTCTTACATTTCTGGGTATCAGTGTCTGTAGTGGGGATCTCTCTTAGCTTGACAGGGTCTCTCCAGTATGACAGAACCAAACATTTCCCTGCCATGTAGTCTTCAACTCTCACATGGTCCCCTAGGCGCTCAACTATCAACCTCTGTGCCTGGAAATAGGAAAGCAATCATGTTAGACCGAGATAAAGCACTTCTGGGTCGAGTTCTTCATTCACTTGAACAATTGTTATAATTGCACGGCAACCCTTAATAAAAATGCTTCAACTCCTCAACCGCCACACCCCTACTGTAAATGGTCTTGCTCTAGAGGCTGACACAAAGGTTGTTGGAAATTATAGAGATCATGTAGCCCTTGGCACCTACCTGTGAATGGAGTACTTCTAATTGTAGAGACTGGCAGAATGAGTGGAGGCAATTATAGAGATCATGTAGAGGTTTATCATTGCATAGCAGTCGAGACTGAACAAGCTGATGTATGTAGTTAACCTGTTAAAAAACAAAGCACTAGCGATTACCTCATACAGTACTTGATTGATCTTGAGTTTAAAACATTCAGTTGTACAAAACATTTTGAAATGTTGCCTGCTTTGGGCCTTAATAATTCAAGAACATATTCTAAGATAGGAATACACAAATGACCTTTTCCTACATGCAATTTTTTTACATGCGGCCTTTTTCTACATACAATCTTTTTCTACATGTAACCTTTTTCAACATAACTTTTCTGAGAAGTCAATCTGAATCAATGATAAGAATCATATTACAATAGAAATATAGCATTTACCTGAAGGGAGTGCACCAGAGCTTTACCATCTGAAAACAAAAACAGAAAAATGTGCACTATGATGACATCTTTATTTGCATTATTTCACTATACAGGGAGTGGCTTTTATGTCTTTCTGACTTGAGCTTGCCATTCTTTATTGAACTATTAGATGTCTGCACTTTATTGGGGTCTTGGAGTAGGGAGTAGGTAACATTAAGTGGCATTTTGCAGACACAGACAGCACCAGTAGGTATATCATTTTAGTAGCTTTAAATCTTATACAAGTCATGTCCTCCAAAGAATCAACAAGGAAACGTAGACAGGCATTCCAAAGAAATTTGAGAATACCAAAAACATGGACAAATAATACTTCAATGGAAAATGCAGTAACATGCAAAATGTCACCACCTACCATTTGTTACAGATGCCAATGGCTGAACACAGAATGCCAAATGAAAAATGCTAGATACTGTGCACAAAAAAATGAGAGAATGTGAAATCTGCCTGATCTGTAAGGGAAACATTTAAGATGAGTGATCTAGACCTATGCACTCACCTCCAGTCTCCTGGTCTAGCACCAGTATATCAATGTCTAGTAGTCTCCATGGTATTGTTGAACTGTCCCCCATCAAAGTCAGTGATGCTTCAAACTCATGTTGGACAATGAATGTTACCCTTCCATTTTCTAAAACAAAAACAATCCAGATTGTTATTAGTTAAATCTAAGAGATTGGTGAAAAACAAATGCAGTTGAAATAACTATATTTTAATTATTCATTGTTAGAAGTGGGTGGCAATCCGAGTTGAAACTGCACGAAGATCCAGATAAACTGTTTGAAACAATCATATCTAGTAAAAGCTCTCATGTTAACTTACACTTAGCCAAATTTGAGTATTAGAAAATATTTTTTTCATGAAAACATGGTAAAACGACACTGATATTTTGTTATTACTTCTAGTTATACTTATAACATGTTAAACTGATGTAAAGTATTTTTTTTACATATGTAGTATGTAGTTGTATTTGTTGAATTCATGAACTCACCTATTTTCAGTTGGTTAAACTGCTCTGGCATATCTGTCGTGACCAATCTATGCTGTATGATCTGATTTAGCCTCAGTAGAGTCTCTCGTTTCTCTTTTGGTGTGATTCCATCAGGTGGCACAATCTTATCCTAAAAGCAACACAATAGTTGAAAGTCTACATACATGTAATTATATAAACACATTTTAATAACTTGATTTTCATCAAAGTCCTACTTGACAAATATAACTGATAAAAGACAACAAAATGTTCTTACCAACTCAAGTCTTGTAGCTAAAGTTCTTTTTCATGCATTTTCAAAATTCAACAAATGAATTTGGCGGCTGGTTGTTTTATTATTAAGCAGATCAGTAATAAATGTTGTTAATGTGCCATTTTGGTTGAACTTAACATACAAGTATAACACAGAATACATGGAGGTGCCCCCCCCCCCCATAACCAATAAAAATAGAACCATGAGATGGAAGAAGAAAATAGCTTTTTATTTGAAGCTTCTAGCCCAATTTTGAAGGAAGTTGCATCAATTTTTGTGAAATTCGAAACAAATCTTATTTTTGGCTTGTTTATGCCACAATTTGCACTCCCTGACTGAAAATCGAATTTTTTGACTGAAAGCTGGCTGAAATTTTGTCTAAATTGTAGAAACACACTTACTCTGATGCAATTTGGCAGCCTCGGGTATGATCCAGTGGTCAACACATCAATAGCACATGGAAGCGAGAAGTTGGGTAGACGGGCATGGACCAATGTTTCACGCGCCATCTTGGCTAACATGTCTGCCGTCTCAACAAAAAACATTGCTTGGCGATCCAAAAAATCAGAGATGACCTATAAAAAATTGTATTTTTTGTTTTTTGACATCATTATATAAATTTCCTCAACCTTAGGCTCTCATAATTACAGAGGTACAATAATCTGATAGCTTGGAGTATTTTTTACTTGAAAATATTGGTCTGTTAGGAATGTCAGTGCAGACCACCTTACAAATGTTTTAAATAATTTGTGCTCGGAATAGATTAAGAGAAAACAGTCATATTTTTATCTACTTACACCACATTTATCAACTTTTCCTGCCATACTTGCCCATTTTACTAAGGCAAGAAGTCGAATAAACAATTGACGCGTCCTCCCAGCGAACTGCACAATCTCAATCTTCCTTTCCATGTCTGTTTTACGAGGAAGCCTACAATTCAAGATATTGCTATCACTTAGCAAGCTTTTGTCATGAACAATGAGCAATCAATATATTTTTGTTTTGAATACAAAAATATGAAAAATTCCTATTTTGTGAACTTCCCACCCACTTTTGAGTCGTAAGTAAAATTACATGCAAAACATGAAAAGAAGAAGGTAGTTACTGCACATGTATTACATGTATGTACACTGCACATGTATTACATGTATGTACACTGCACATGTATTACATGTATGTACACTGCACATGTATTACATGTATGTACACTGCACATGTATTACATGTATGTACACTGCACATGTATTACATGTATGTACACTGCACATGTATTACATGTATGTACACTGCACATGTATTACATGTATGTACACTGCACATGTATTACATGTATGTACACTGCACATGTATTACATGTATGTACACTGCACATGTATTACATGTATGTTACTTACAGCTCTGATAGTACAGTGAGTTCATGGTACGTTCTTTGCACTATATAGTCTATCAGTGTCCCCAAGGGAATGGTGCCCTGGCCCCCAGACACTGGCTGTGGCCCACCCTGCATCAGCTGCTGCCCATCCACAGGTGGCATGATCTATCTCAATAGGTGTCAGCACTCAACAATCTGTAGCATAACAATTAGCTGAAAGTGTGGAAAAAATCATTCAATGAACAATTAGAGATTAACATTTATCATAGACAAATGTATCAGATTTTCTTGAAAAAACTAGGTGAAAGATATACTGATATGTAACAAATTATGTGAAAATTAGAAAGGTTGGCTAATCAATTATTTCTAGAAAAATATTTTAAATTTACATGGGTTTCAATGAGAAAATACATTTTAAAAATAAAACAAATGGCGTAAACAAGATCACGCGAATTTGAACAAAATCCAATGAGCGGTTTTCCTGAAATGCGAATGACAAGATTTATCAAAAAACCTTCAAAATGGCCACACGAAAACAATATGGTCACCCAAAAGTTGATCAGCTCTTGAACTTGATATCGTCTATCATGTGTGTGAGTTTGGAGAAAATACGATGGGTGGTTTTCCTGAAATCGTGATGACAAAAAGCGGGATGAGCACGCCCTCATCATGACGACTACTGATCCCACCCATGGTGTGATAAAAAAAATTCAGATTCTCTTTAAAAAACTGTGATCATTCTATGGGAAACCAAAATCATTTAAAAAATATTCAATATGAAGATTCCGAATCTTGAGAGAAAACCTTAAATAACTGAATATTATGAATCAGTGGGAAAATATTATTTCATACATATAATGACTCATGTTGCTGAAAATGTCTTGATAGATCAACATGAGTGTGTCATATAAAAAGAGATCAAGAAAATGTATAGTGAACGGTTAAAATGAAAAAATAGATTCGGCCAGGTTTCAAACCCACTTTCTCGGGGTTTAAAGGTTGACGCGTATCGTTTAGCAAATCGAATGTGCGCTGTTGGTGTTGGTCACCGTTTAGTATAAAAGGAACGATCCCGGATTTCTACTCAAGGGGAGAGAGCATGTAACATGTGCATGGATCGTTAGATATTAGAAGCAGGACATGCAAGAAGTGCAGTGAGTATATTTTGTAATTGTATCGATCTCCAGTGATATAAGTTGTGCAGTTGTTGAAATGTTTAGGCAATATTGTGAATTGAATGCGTTTTGATAAGAAAATTAATACGTTTTGAAGGCTCAAATATGATGTAAACAAATACACTAGTAGGCCAAGCAATTTTGTTAGGTTAGTTTCAAAACGTATGAATTTTTCTTTCAACCTTGATATCATTGTACTTGGTATCAAATATTGATAACCTGGAACATCAATGGCTGCTATTATCGAGGATTTAATAAATTCTATAAAATAAATGAAATATATGTTTAATACATCATGGATCATGATATATGTATATTTTCAGTCGGATGCTCAACTAAAGCAGGCCTCAAAACAACCACGAGATTGCCATACCAGCTACACATTGTAGTAACAGTGATTGCAGAATCAACAAAAGTAAGTAACACATTTGTTTGATATAACATTTACTGATCAATAATTGCATTACTTGAGTGTTGTTTAGGATAAACGATTGTTTGTTTGCAAAAATGCCATGTTGAAAGTAAGATACATTATATTTTATTGTCATTTATTTGAGTCTAATTCTTAGTTATAACTTTGCAAGCCCTGTCAATGTTGTGTCCACTGTTTGTTCTTATAATTATCTTCTGTTCGTCCGATACAAATAATCAGAATAGTACATTTTTGTACTTTAATTTGGACAGCCACACAGCCTAATTCTTCTTTTTTATTTTTCAGAATGGACACAAATGGACCACCCCCGAAGAAAAGGAAACAGTTCAGAAAAAACATAGACTGCTATTTCGCATCTAAAGTTGAACTGGACAATTTCAACGCACGCATTGTGAGTTTTAAATCTGCAACTGGTATCTCTTCCATGCAGGACATCATTACAAATTTACTAGACCATGCCGAACTTTCAGTGTGCGATTCAGAAGGTACTAGTTCACCAATTTTTCAACCATTCTATACCGTTGGGAAAGACATTTCGAAATCAGAAAAACCCGTTCTAACATGTTCGACTGCTTTACAGAAACTGATCGATACTGTATTTTACATGATTGATTCCAAAAAGATAAAATCGCCTCCACAAATTACTCTGGAATCAACATATATTCATGTGGGGATTTGTTCTCTGGATTCCAAACACCAGACGTTGAAATGGAAGTCCTCACCATATTTATGCAATGACAATCCTACAGGTACTGCAAACCCCAGATTCCTTCTGAACGTCAAAGCTGCACAAAGTGTCTTATCCAGTGGTTTACTTTTAGATCAGTACAACCGTTTTGCTGTATCACTCGACATCGGACAGCTTCCAAGAAGTCTCATTGATGTATGTAAACATGTCATATCTGAGGCAGCAAGCCAATTGTGATTCCTGTCTATATCGGAGTGTATTCAAGTAGCCTCAAATGACAGTCCTGGTGGTCTTACAATAGAAACAGATGCAACGTACAGCGCCTGCAGAAATGCCACCCACTCAAACACGTTTACAATCGACCATAGCACCCATCAGATTGTGGCCTCTGAGGTTATATCCCGATCAATTTGTGAAACGGCAAAGAAAATTTATGAACATTTTAAAAGTAACGATGTGAAAATAAAGTGCAACATTCATGATCATAATCAACAGATCAGTAAAATCGAAAAGACGAAAATGTCAACGAACAATTCGATTTATGGCATGTGATTAAAAGTGTAATGAAAAAATTTAGTAAAATCAGCAAAGGTACAAAGACCAATATTGGGAAAACCTGGCATCCACAACTATTTGACAAAGCTGACGGAGTAGAAAACCATTTCATTTATTCTATCATGAACTGTGGTGGAGACAAAAATAATCTTACTGACAGTCACGATGCCATCCCGCTACATTATCATGGTAACCACTATAATTGCCGCTTGAGCTCACCTTGTAACAAAAACAGAAGCTATCAGCCCTCAAAAGTTATCATCACAAACCCGGATGCCATTCGTCTCCTCATTGATTTTGTAACAGATTCAATAGTTTACAAAAAGCCACACCTTGTTTTATCCGGCCTTTCAACATTTTATATTGAGGCTGCAAATGGAGCACTCCGCTCATTTGCTCCAAAGAAACAATCATTCGGTGAAGTGGCATACAGATTGAGGACAGATCTATTTATCCTTGACTGGAACGAAAATGTTAATAGGAAACAACACCGGGTACCAACGCCTAAAGGCGATGGGACCCTACGCGAAGGACTAGGAAAAATTAAAAAATCTCGAAAAAACTACAAATATTTGAAACAATTGTGGCTGCAATCTTTATTATTATACTGAAACACACAATGCTTGTCTATTTTACAGTACTTATATTATTTTGTTACATGTACCAATACATATTTCAATCAAACTCTTCGTTTTGTGATCTTTATCTGCAAAATATGATAATATCTTGTATTGAATTGATTCGACGATATGAGGTACCTATTTAGAATCCATCACAATGTAATATAGATTTGACAGGCCTACCTTGTTAATCGATCTATTTCTTATAATCCCAATATTAATTACGTATTGTGTTTCCACATAAATCAATCAATTCATAAATCCACTAAAGGAAGCGTTAAAGTCTGGTAGTAAATGTTCTCTGTCAATCACATTTAAACTCTCCTCACAAATGTTATATGCAATTACTAATTAATGCAGCCCCAAGTTACAAATAATATATGTACAGCTTCATCAAATGTCCAAAATCCTAGACCCCCAATGCGTATTAATGCGAAATGTACTTTTTGTAAATAAACAAAGTATTAAAAAACCTTGGCCTTGTTGATTATCAAACACCCCTAATTTTTTAATGATCAACTAGTCCATTTAACCGCCATTTTGTTTTTGTACGGGAAAGTCTACGTTACCCTTTAAAACTTTAAACTCCCAGCATAAACTTCCAGAATTTCTCCGAAATTAGCTCATCTTGGTGAATGTAACTCGCACAGCTGTATTGAAAAGAGTCTTCTTCTATTCAATCAGCCTCAATTTTAAAGTGCATATTTTATTTTTAAAGTGATTTCATTGTTTTCTGTCGACTGGTAAGATACGCCCAAGCAAATGACAAGATGGATGACCCAGTCCCTTGACCTCACCTTGACCGATGGTGATCACATATTCAATATTACCAAGATGGCAGTTTCAAATTTTCTAAAATCGCTTCAAATAATACTATGTTAATTACATGGCGAGTAAGTGATGTCACCTCTCAAAAGGAATTCTCAACGAGTTGCATAGCAACCATGGAATAAACAATTTCTGATCAGTCTCTTGCAAAATCCTGAATATTCACTTATTTCTACGGTTCATTGCAAATCACTAATATTTATCTTACGAATGAATTCTTCTAACATTAGAAATTAATATCTCATAAATTATGGTAAATTGAATCGGTAGGAAACACGAAGAAATACATTTTTCAAAGTAGGTCAAATTTTTTAGAAGGGTAAACTTCCAGGGAATTTTATGATTGTCACGTCTTACAAGAATGGGTCACGTAACTTTGTGCCCATCTTTTTAGTCAGTCGACCTGTTCAAAGTACATTTAGTACTAATTATCGCATTTCAGAACAATTAGGAAACAATATTTTCTATCTACATCGATTACAAAGCATCTAAGGTATGTAAATTTATATGAACAACTGAGTCAATAGGGATAAATAGCCCAACGAGAGTCGGCGGTCTTGAATCTTGTTTCCAGTCCAGTAATTGATATCTATCTCGTTCAAAGATATATTAGACATCCGTGAAATCAAGGGAAACTTTTCAAATCAACAAGCATGGATATTTTATTCAGTTTTTGTCTTTGGCATGCCCAAACTGACTGAGCAATTAGACAGTGAAGTTGTACCTTAAGGGAGAAAAAATGTTGACATGGGGTTCATAATTTTTAGACTTTTAGGACAGAACATCCAAAATGGCTGCCATAACATTTACCAAGAATGCCGAAAAAATAAATTATTCCCTAAAATTTAAAATCAATCCATCAAATGGTTATCTTGAAAATGAGTAGACATGACTTTACAGACACAATTTTGGGA